AGAACAAAAAGGTCTTGATGAAACTGAGGAAGGTGGCGAACATGAGGGCCGAGACTATTCGGTTAAGGAAAGAAATTAACAAAATGGATGTTGCTGTAAAGAAGAAGAAAAAAGTGGTGAAATTGGAGAAGAAAAAACTCAACCGATGTCTTACTGAAAACCTGCTTCTGTCAGTAACAGAGCACCTCCTTAGAGGGATTCTGTTTCCCCCAGGCGGAAACTACTAAATTAATACAATTGGGAATTGTTGTATTAGCTATTTCTGTTCAGTGATTTATGTTGCCTTTCGATGGTTTTTTTCTCATGTGTTTTTGGGGGTGTTCTTGGATGTGTTTTTCTCTGCTTTATGTAAAAATATTATAATTTATAATGGCATGTATTATTATGAGTAAGATTATAATAATATATATTATTATACAATTTTTTATTTTAAAATTTATTCATAATATTTTATATATTTATTCATTTAATGTTATATCATATTTACTTAATATTATATTTTAATTATATATTTATAATTTTATGTAATATTATAAGTATAATATTATCCATTGTTTACTTGTGACTTTTTTTTTTATAAGAATAATTGTTAGTAAATTAATATTGTTAGATGTTAACAATTTGAGATTCAATCTCTAAATTTAACAAACAGTTCATCAAACTTAATGAGACGTGCGACCATCGGATCCCTCGATGAAATTCGTTTACTTGAGAGTTGTTACACTGTTTCCGTGTTGTGAGCGGGTGTGGGAGCATGCTGCCCAACCCTGAGCATGTGGGTTTTGATGAGATTTGTCTGCATGTCAAACCCTTTTCAGATTGGGGCTAAATTTCTTCCATTTACTATTCTTGATTCTCAAATTCCCCAAAAAGTAGAAAACTGCAATGCACAATGAGTTAGGATTCTTTCAGTTTTAGACTTTTAGGTATCCACTTGAAAAAAATACCAAGTTAAGTTAGGAAAGTAATAGGGACACAAATTTTTTGTATAATTATTTATAAACTTTATAAATTATTTAGTAATTAATTCTTTTTATTTTATTACTGACATAGCCTAATTTTTCTCATCTAATCTGATATTTTTTTCAAAAAATTTTCAATTTTTCTAAAATACTAATTTCTCACAAATTCCTAAATTTTAAATGAAAAATATTTTCTTATTTTCAAACTTTATAAACTTAGAGCCTTAGAGCATGTATGCCATACAACCTCTAACAATTAACAACAATAACCTTCAAGTAAACATTTGTAAAAACACATCTCAATATTTAAGTTAAAAACTTAAATATTTAAATTAGAGATTTCAAGTTTGAATATTGTAATGAGTGCGAAGAGGTTTAAAAAAAAAAACGTATATTCTATTATATAATTTACCATCTAAGGTATTAAAAAAAAAAAAAAAAGCCTTCAAGTAAATGATAACATGATAATTGAGTCTCATGATGAGCAATAACATCCTTCAAATTATTCGTACATGAACAATAACAACCTTCAAATAAATGATAACAAATTCACCAAATCTTGTTTCACAATTGTCCATGACAATTGTTGATTGGCTCATTCTGCACAACTAGATAAAGTGAGTCAATATATGACTATTGTGTGTACATCAACACCGGTTAGGATATGTTTAATTAATTAAAGTGAATAATCTTATGATTTCATCGTGAATTTGTTGCTAAACATATAAAACCGCGATTATTTTCTATTAATATTAATATTTTTTTATCTAGCTAGGTCCCAAAATTAGCTTTCATCATGTTAATTATTATGTTAAAAAAATTACAATGATACTGCAATTTGGGTTATTTTAGTATTTACCAATCATTAATAGTAAAAACTCAAAGAAAAAAAATATTAATTAAACTATTAGAGTGATTTGCACACATGCCATGGGCCCGCGTTGGTGGTGTGGTTTGATTTAAATTTTATTATTTTTTAAATTAATTTAATTTAATCAGTTAATAAAATTTTAAATTAATTTAATCTATTATTATGTATCAAATTAATCCAATTTAAATCAGATCGGTGTGGTTTGACCAGATTAATCGATTTTTAACATTATTAAATATATAAGGTAATGTAAAAATATTTTAACATCAAATAGAATGTATAACTATAAAATACATTAACATTCAAATCAGTAAAAACATAATAATAGGTAAAAAGTATAAATAAATTCTTATACTCCTTTATATTTGTAAAAATTGAAAAGCTCTAAAAATTCTTCTTGGTTACATCACTAAAGGCATAAAAAATAATAAAAAATAACTTCAAATTTTTAGCACAACGTAAATAATTCTTGAAAATTAAAATTATTTTTTTTCTTAATGCACTAATAATTTAATCTCATTTTCTAAATCTATTAAAAGTAAATAATATTTAACATGAATATTACTAAAATTGATTAGAAGTATTCATAATCAAAATTTAAAACTTCTAAACCAAATATCTAAAAATAGTAGAATATTAAGACTAATTTTATTATATAGTTTTAAGGTTTTTAAAATGATACTTATTTAAAATTTAGTTAGGAGAATCATAAAATTATTTTAAAAATAAATTAGAAATTTATGCTTTTAGTAGTAAAGGCGCAAACTAATTCTAAGATGATAAAATTGCAAGTGAATTAGAAATTTAAAATTAAGATTAGAGTACACGATTAAAATTGAGAAATAACTTAGGGAATATGAAGATGTTTTATTTTTATTTTTTAATTAAGTTAATGGAGTTATAATTTCGTAAAATAAGAAAAAAAAATTTTAAATACTACAAAAAATATGTTATATTATTTAATTAAATTATTTTCTAATCAGATTTTATTTTGTAATCGGACAGTTTGAACGGTTTGAAAATAAAACCACAAATCAAACCAATTATAACGGTTTTTAAATTTTAGAATTCAAACCAATTTAATTTTATATTGGTTTAGATCGATTTTTAATTGAATTGAATCAATTTAAGTCGAAACAATCAGATTGGATCGAAAATGAACACCTTAGTATGCATGAAGTTTTTTTTATAAATAAT